GGTGTAATGCACTTCAACTTGGCGTAGTTCTCTTATTTGGTCGGTGACCCCCGATTTTTTTGGCAAAATTTAAATGTACTTGGATGCCTTACATAAAAAAATTTTTAAAACAATTCGAACGTTAGAAAATCATAAAAAATAATGCTTTAGTGAAAAAACACCCATTTTCCCATTGATTTGAATGGGGACTAGTGCGATATGCAGGGCGTAACATACTTGGGGATAGTTCTCTTATTTGGTCGGTGACCCCCAATTTTTTTGTGCGATATGTAGGGCGTAACATACTTGGGGATAGTTCTCTTATTTGGTCGGTGACCCCCAATTTATTTTTTTGCAAAATTTTTATGTACTTGGGTGTCTCTGCAAACAAAAAAAAATTAAAAAAATTCGAACGTTGGAACATGTAACGACCGATCTACCTTAATTTTGACATCCATCTTCTTTCATTTATTTATTTATTTATTTGTTAGTATATTTATTTATTTATTTGTTTATTTGTTTTCAGGCACGGTGGGAGAATGGAAGAATCATTTCACAGTGGCTCAGAACGATGAGTTCAATAAGATATTCTGCAGGATGAAAAAGACATCAATCTTGACTTGAAATTTGAGCTTTGATCGCATGCCGCTTTTTGGCTATCCAAAGCCGGCAGCGTTGATCGAATTTATTTATTTTCTATTGCAATTTGATTAAGCTGGCTTATGTGTCATTTTGTGTTTTAAAAGTTTTAACTGGTCTTCAACAAGATGCCACCCATGCACTTAGAATGCGTTTTTAATCCTACTTCATATGACATTAAACTTAATGGGTTTTCTAGTAAACAGATGTAGATGGGAGAACAGTTTCATTAGCTCTGTATGTATCAATTCAAATTATTGTTTTTCTTTTTACCCAGAGCTTGTAAAATATGTGGGTATTACCTCCGATATTTCTGTGGCGGTCAGTCACCATCATTAGGGAGTAAATGACTAGGGTCATTTCATGTGGAATGAAAATCCAGGTCAAGTGCATAACTGATGATGGTGACTGACAGAAATATTGGAGGTAATATCCACATATTTTACAAGCTCTTGATAAAAAGAAACAAAAAATAATATGAATATATATGGATGGGTTTAAGAAACAATTTCAGAATGAGTCGAAAATGGGCTGAGAATTGACAAAGTTTTAGATGAATTAATTTATAAGCATAGTTAGAATAGCGCATTTATTATTTTTGCGGACATTTGAAATAACTCGATGTAATTTGACTAAAAGCAGTGTAGTAGTCTAAATCGCGCCCTGTGTATACCACGCCACATGAGAAAACATACAGAGAATTGATGACCATTCACTGGTATATCAGATTAAAAAAATGTTAACAGCATTTTCCGTTCTTGGGTCACAGTTTGTTTAATTGTCCACTGCCATGTTGATACTGATCGATATACTCCTTAAGTAGTAACCCTGTAAAAACACCAGCGGACATTGACCTGGTAACGTTTTGATTATACACATGATCGGCCCAGCTTGCAAATTGTTCACGTTTTATTGTGCATAGCTGACATACTCACTTTCGTTTACCATTCCTCGTCTCCATAGCAATCACCTACTTTCCATTGCGTCCTGGGCTCCGTATCTCGAAAGGTTCGCTATGTTGCGCACGTGTGTTAGTGTCTCGATTCCATAACCGATTCTATTTCGAGATACGGGGCCATGGAATCGAAACACTTGCGCACGTGGGCAACATAGCGAACCTTCGAGATACGGAGCCCAGCTGGACTGTCCTTTTGAGTCCTACGGTAACCTGTTGACTCCCCGCCTGCCACTCAGCATTTAGGGGTTGAAGCAGGGGTAAAGTTCCTGGTCAGGCAGCGAAAGATATCTGTTCGCTTGGTAGCTTGCAGCGCTTCATACAGCATGTTGGGCTGTACCCTCCCCATGGAGGCGAGAACATCAACACATTAACTGTACCAGGGCCAAAAAGGACCAGGGGTCTGTAAACCCCGCTGAGACGCATGTATAGTGCGGTATATAAGAACTTTTACTTTTGTACTGGAAATCATAGAAATCATATTAATTTAAAACATACAATAAAAAGGTCTTGTCACTGTAGCTCATATTTATCAAATGAACACTGACGGTTTGATTAGCTTAATTTAAAATAATTCACAATGTAATAATACCGATAGCTAACATTTTGTTCTATTCACTGCTCCGTGGTTACGGCATTGTCCGCTAGATGGCACTGCGAACAGTGCATAGCTGGAAGGTGAAAGGGCACTTCTTCTTGGAAAACGCGTTAAACTTGAGGACAGCTGCTTGACCAGTTCGACGCAAACATTTACACAAAGAGAGCGGCGTTTTCCCGCTATACCAATAAGACATTTGCCGAAATATTAATAAACGAAATGTCTCGGTTCGCGTTGGTCTCTTATCTTCCATGTTGGTTATTCGCGGAAAAATCAACATCATTTCGATAAGGTTTCACCTCCGAGGGGGAAGGGTATATTTAGCTGGGGGTGACCGAGGGGGGTTTGCATCCGAGCCGTTCAGAGCAAGTAATGGATTACGTGTTTATACTTATTCCTTTTTTATTTGATTTGTATTTGTACTCGAGCGATCGATTTTCCCTATAACGTCAATGGTGAGGAGTTGTATTATAATGTAGTAATGTAAGTAAATCAATGATAGATTTCTTTTCCTATCTCATTGGACAAAAGAAACACAATGTTTTTCGAATCTTCGTGCCGGGTTGTGACCCTCCCTCCCCTCCTACACCCAGTGAAACACGAGGTGACATGTCATTAGTGTTAAGGATGTGAAATGATGCAGACGATACTTTTCTTGATCGTTGTTATTTCGCTGTCTGGGCGGGCAGGTAAGCATGATCTTATTCCTGGACAACATACTGCTCGTTGCTAAACATTCTCAAAATTTAAGCATTTTATTAGTTCTTACTCGTGATCATTTTTATAGATAAAACTTTTTTAACTCAACAATATTTATAAAGTTTTAGAAATGGTTTGCTAAAGATCGATTTACAGTTTGAAATGTAGTTTTTCATACTTGGCTCAACTCATAATATGAACTACAATAAACGTTAAAAAAAATTAAAGAAAGAAGTGCGGTAGATAGCATTTTCCTTTGTCAAAGGAAAATGTAGGCCTATTCCGTATTTCCTAGTGTCCCAGAGTAGCTTCCGGTGCCCGACGGGGAGGTATATACCGTGGAGCTATGTCTGCAATGGAAGGTGGGATTGCAGCGACGGGTCGGACGAAAGGAACTGTCAGACCACGTATAGACCAGGTATGATTAAATCATTTATATATTTTGCAAGCAGAAAATAGCCTTATATTTTTACTGTACAAAGCAGTGGCGGATTTAGGGGGTCCTGACACCCCCTTCGGTTTCTGTCTTGAAATTAGTATTTTGACTAACTAAATCATTATTCTGAACTGTACCAAAGGTCACTGTTTGTTCTCCAAAACACCGGTTAATTTCTAGGCCCTTGAGCAGGCCCCGAACCCCACACCAGGGGGCGATGGTCGGTTTTGCATCCGAGGCCTGTCGTTCCGTTCCGCCCCCCCCCCCCCACTTCAAATAATCCTGGATCCGCCCCTGCATAGCGTATTTGTTTTGATTGAATGAATCGATGTTGCTATAAGGAAACGCTCTATGTATAACTTTCGCTTGAATGAAATAGTATTGTAAATATTTGGAAAGTTGTGCTTACAAGAGCTCGCCTTTGATTTGTTTGTATTCAATATCTGGCCTTTTTTATTTATTGTATTTTATGAATTTATTTATTTATTTATTCTATCTTATTCTATCTTATTTTATTTTATTTTATTTATTTATTTATTTATTTATTTATGTTTATAAAGTGTTTAACGAATAATGTACCCGTTTGTTCCTTGGCTGCACGTTCTAGAAGACTATCCTGTAAGCTTATTTCCCTTTTGAGATAATTCCAGGACAACCTATTTATAAGGTTGATGTAAATTAATTTGGTATCTCTGTCTGGATTAAGTCAACCAACAATGATAAATCAATTTACTCACTACGTCAGAAATATTTCGCATAAACGAAGGCGCAATGTGTCATCCTTTAGTAGCCGTTGACCACGTCAGTGTTTATCTGTTGTCACTCGATACTGTCGACTTCAACGTTTGCCTTATGATAAAAGTTTGTTTGCTAGATAAAAAGAATAAGATATGAACATACGATATTGATTATTAATGTGCCGCCTGTGTCATGACACGTGGTGATTGAATTATGTGTAATTTCACCTGGCACATGTTCAGATAATGGAGGTAGTATTCTAACTGTTTATTTTATTAACGAAATGTAAATTTGATATTTTGCTCAGCCCCAATCAATAATGTGCCAGGATTTATTAATCGGATTGTTAAGGTCGCTCTCTAATTCAATAGCTCAGATCAGATCTTTGTTGAATCCTTTTCAATAATGTGAACTATTGCACTGCCTTTATGCACTAATTGTGAATGTTTCACTTTGTCCTATAGAACACACCACGGAGACCAACGAAGCTACAACGTATGGTAAGCTTGAGAGGAAAATGCTTTCCTCGGCTTCTATCATCCTTCTCTCTCCGCCCCCACTCTCTCTCTTTCTCGTGCACACGCACACACACCTACACACATACTCACTCTCTCTCTCTCATACACATACACAGATACTATATCTTTAATTCTCTCTTTCTATGTCTCTCCCTCTCTCTCTCTCTCTCTCTCTCTCTCTCGCACTCTCCCTCTCAACAATAACAGAAAAAGATGTTTGTTGAGAAATGTACATTTTCTTTTATTTTAACTGTACCTTTTATGTAACTTGTACCTCTAACCAGTAACCTGCTTATACTTAGGCATTGGGTTTGTTATATGTTCTTCAATAAGATCACTGTTACTGAAAAACTTTGGATCGCTGACAAACGTGATTTTCCTGATTTGATGCCCACTCTTTGCTGTGGTACCCAATCTCTTCATTTCCCTACATCTCTTATGTTTTATGTATCAGACCCCTGCTACCGCAATCCGTGTCAGAATGGTGGAACGTGTTACCCGAAGAGAACCTCGTACTGGCCGTACCAATACACAGAATACAGCTGTCAGTGTGACTCTTATCACTATGGACAGAAATGCCAGTATTATGGACGTAAGGAGAGCCTGAATATCACGATACGTATTTTAAGATATAAATCTTGAAAATTATTATCTGATTTGATATAATTAGATGTATAACGTGACAATATAATAAATACATAAATAAAATAAAAAAATGTACAAGTTACAAGGGTATAGTCATTAGTTTAGCTTTATCCTGTGTCTGTATAAAGACGTAAATCCTTGTTGTCTGCAGCACTACATTTTTTACTGTAACAATGCACTGAACGATTCAAGTTTAATCTGTTCTTTTTTTATTCAGGACAAACCACTGAGAGACCCACAGTAGAAACAACTCAAAGTAGGTTTTATGGAAAACGTCCTTTTATGTAACTTGGAAAAATTACGAAGTCGCATGCCCGGTTTACGTACAGCATGCGTCGAGCACAACATAGTACAAGATGCTACATGCACAAGAACCTGCCCCAAATGACTACAGATACAATTAACAGCCGATGCATGCACTAAACATATCTGTGACACGTGTAACAGTAAAGAAACAAATATAATTTTTTCACCGTAGCAGTAATAAATGAACATGCTCGGTTGATAAATAGTGTATACATTATATTTATTCATTTTCATTATGCCATTACCGTATTTAGGCTGTCAAAATGGAGGATACTATGATTATTATAACGGTAGATGTCGCTGCCAAGCAGGCACGTGGGGCTATTATTGCCAATATGGAAGTGGTGAGTTGACTTGTGAAAATATTCTAGACAACAATTTCCAGGGATGTGTGGTCCTTATCTCATTCCCTACAATTTATTTATTTCACTCTTACCCTTTCTAATGAATATAAATAAATATACAGGTACACATGTAAATAAATAATTCAGAGTACTTATTAAAAACAGCAGCACTTTTGTGGAATCCCACATCAGGGTGCAGGCATGCACTGTATATCTCATAGACAACCGTATACATCATTACACTTGATAGTACCGTATAAACCAGTGATTGAGACTTAACTAATTTTGATATGTTTTAGTGCAAACTACGGTGGAGACGACAAAAATGGCGACAACGTACGGTGAGCCTCTCTCTCTCTCTCTCTCTCTCCGTGCTTACCACGTTATGTTTTTAAGTCAAGAATCGACAGTCTCGATGAAATGCCAAGGTTTCTTGTGCACATGAAGATTAACTTTACCTGAAATATTAGAGTGATGCCTATTCATCTTTCATATTGGTGATTAACATTGCCTCTGACAAATCGTGATGTTCACTGATAAATTAACGTATACTTTTTGCTGTGGTTTCCTATCTCTCCATTGCGTTTCAGATCCCTGCTACCGCAATCCGTGTCAGAACGGTGGAACGTGTTACCCGAAGAGAGCCTCGTACTGGCCGTACCAATACACAGACTACAGCTGTCAGTGTGACTCTTATCACTATGGACAGAAATGCCAGTATTATGGACGTAAGGATAGCCTGAATATCACGATACTTATTTTAAGATATAAATCTTGAAGATTATTATCTGATTTGATATAATTAGATTTATAACGTGACTATATAATAAATACATAAATAAAATAAAAAAGTACAAGTTACCAGGGTATAGTCATTAGTTTAGCTTTATCCTGTGTCTGTAGAAAAAACGTAAATCCTTGTTGTCTGCAGCAGTAAATGTTTTACTATAACAATGCACTGAACGATTCAAGTTGAATCTGTTCTTTTTATTCAGGTCAAACCACTGAGAGACCCACGATAGAAACAACTCAAAGTAGGTTTTATGGAAAACGCCCTTCTATGTAACTTGTAATTGAGTGAAAAGGCGCTTTTGGGGGATAAAAGCCAGTCTACTAACGTCGTTTGCTGATAGTTAATTGATTTTTTTCCAAATATTTCGAAAAATTACGAAGTCGCATGCCCGGTTTAGGTACAGCAAGCGTCGAGCACAACATAATACAAGATGCTACATGCACATGAACCTGCCCCAAATGACTACAGATACAATTAACAGCCGATGCATGCACTAAACATATCTGATACACGTGTAACAGTAAAGAAAAAATATAATTTTCCACCGTAGCAGTAAAAAATGAACATGCTCGGTTGATAAATAGTGTATACAGTGTATTTATTCAATTTTCTCATGCCCTTACCGTATTTAGGCTGTCAAAATGGAGGATACTATGATTATTATAACGGTAGATGTCGCTGCCAAGCAGGCACGTGGGGTTATTATTGCCAATATGGAAGTGGTGAGTTGATTTGTAAAAATATTCTAGAGAACAATTTCATGGTGATGAGTGGTCCTTATCTCATTCCTTTCAATTTATTTCACTCTTACCCTTTCTAATGAATATAAATAAATATACAGGTACACATGTAAATAAATAATTCAGAGTACTTATTAAAATCAGCAGCACTTTTGTGGAATCCCACATCAGGGTGCAGGCATGCACTGTATATCTCATAGACAACCGTATACATCATTACACGTGATAGTACCGTATAAACCAGTGATTGAGACTTAACTAATTTTGATATGTTTTAGTGCAAACTACGGTGGAGACGACAAAAATGGCGACAACGTACGGTGAGCCTCTCTCTCTCTCTCTCTCTCTCTCTCTCTCTCCGTGCTTACCACGTTATGCTTTTAAGTCAAGAATCGACAGTCTAGATGAAATGCCAAGGTTTCTTGTGCACATGAAGATTAACTTTACCTGAAATATTAGAGTGATCCCTATTCATCTTTCATATTGGTGATTAACATTGCGTCTGGCAAATCGTGATGTTCACTGATAAATTAACTTATACTTTTTGCTGTGGTTTCCTATCTCTCCATTGCGTTTCAGATCCCTGCTACCGCAATCCGTGTCAGAACGGTGGAACGTGTTACCCGAAGAGAGCCTCGTACTGGCCGTACCAATACACAGAATACAGCTGTCAGTGTGACTCTTACCACTATGGACAGAAGTGCCAGTATTATGGACGTAAGGATAGCCTGAATATCACGATACTTATTTTAAGATATAAATCTTGAAGATTATTATCTGATTTGATATAATTAGATTTATAACGTGACTATATAATAAATACATAAATAAAATAAAAAAGTACAAGTTACCAGGGTATAGTCATTAGTTTAGCTTTATCCTGTGTCTGTAGAAAAAACGTAAATCCTTGTTGTCTGCAGCACTAAATGTTTTACTATTACAATGCACTGAACGATTCAAGTTGAATCTGTTCTTTTTATTCAGGTCAAACCACTGAGAGACCCACGGTAGAAACAACTCAAAGTAGGTTTTATGGAAAACGCCCTTCTATGTAACTTGTAATTGAGTGAAAAGGCGCTTTTGGAGGATAAAAGCCGGTCTACTAACGTCGTTTGCTGATAGTTAATTGATTTTTTTCCAAATATTTCGAAAAATTACGAATTCGCATGCCCGGTTTAGGTACAGCAAGCGTCGATCGCAACATGATACAAGATGCTACATGCACAAGAACCTGCCCCCAATGACTACAGATACAATTAACAGCCGATGCATGCACTAAACATATCTGTGACACNTAAATCCTTGTTGTCTGCAGCACTAAATGTTTTACTATTACAATGCACTGAACGATTCAAGTTGAATCTGTTCTTTTTATTCAGGTCAAACCACTGAGAGACCCACGGTAGAAACAACTCAAAGTAGGTTTTATGGAAAACGCCCTTCTATGTAACTTGTAATTGAGTGAAAAGGCGCTTTTGGGGGATAAAAGCCAGTCTACTAACGTCGTTTGCTGATAGTTAATTGATTTTTTTCCCAAATATTTGGAAAAATTACGAAGTCGCATGCCCGGTTTACGTACAACAAGCGTCGATCGCAACATGATACAAGATGCTACATGCACATGAACCTGCCCCAAATGACTACAGATACAATTAACAGCCGATGCATGCACTAAACATATCTGTGACACCTGTAATAATAAAGAAAACATATAATTTTCCACCGTAGCAGTAATAAATTAACATGCTCGGTTGATAGATAGTGTATACAGTGTATGTATTCATTTTTTTATGCCATTACCGTATTTAGGCTGCCAAAATGGAGGATACTATGATTATTATAACGGTAGATGTCGCTGCCAAGCAGGCACGTGGGGTTATTATTGCCAATATGGAAGTGGTGAGTTGACTTGTGAAAATATTCTAGAGAACAATTTCATGGTGATGAGTGGTCCTTATCTCATTCCTTTCAATTTATTTCACTCTTACCCTTTCTAATGAATATAAATAAATATACAGGTACACATGTAAATAAATAATTCAGAGTACTTATTTAAAACAGCAGCACTTTTGTGGAATCCCACATCAGGGTGCAGGCATGCACTGTATATCTCATAGACAACCGTATACATCATTACACTTGATAGTACCGTATAAACCAGTGATTGAGACTTAACTTATTTTGATATGTTTTAGTGCAAACTACGGTGGAGACGACAAAAATGGCGACAACGTACGGTGAGCCTCTCTTTCTCTCTCTCTCTCTCTCTCTCCGTGCTTACCACGTTATGCTTTTAAGTCAAGAATCGACAGTCTCGATGAAATGCCAAGGTTTCTTGTGCACATGAAGATTAACTTTACCTGAAATATTAGAGTGATGCCTATTCATCTTTCATATTGGTGATTAACATTGCCTCTGACAAATCGTGATGTTCACTGATAAATTAACGTATACTTTTTGCTGTGGTTTCCTATCTCTCCATTGCGTTTCAGATCCCTGCTACCGCAATCCGTGTCAGAACGGTGGAACGTGTTACCCGAAGAGAGCCTCGTACTGGCCGTACCAATACACAGACTACAGCTGTCAGTGTGACTCTTATCACTATGGACAGAAATGCCAGTATTATGGACGTAAGGAGAGAGTGAATAACACGATACTTGTTTTAAGCTATAAATCTTGAAAATCATTATTCGGTTCAATGTAATCAGATTAATAACGGGACTACCTGTATATATGAATATAAATAAATAAAATGAAGACAAACAGATTAAATAAAACTGTCCAAGGTATGAGGCTATAGTCATAAGTTTAGCTTTATCCAGTACCTGTGTAGAAATATACATGTAAAGTTTACCCCTGTTGTCTGCAGCACTGAATATTTTTACTAAAATAATGCAGTGAACGATTCAAGTGTGATTCAATGTTTCTTTTTTTTCAGGACCAACCACTGAGAGACCCACGGAAATGGCAACACAGAGTAAGTTTCAAGGAAAAGGGATCTTTTTCCTAATGTTTAAAAAACTTTTTTTTTTCAGTAGAAATGGCGCCTTTTTGGCGATAAAAAGCAGGTTTACTAAAGTACAATCATGTAATTTGCTAATAGTCATTTGATTGTTTCCAAATGTTTGGAAAATCACGACGATGCATGTCCGGCTAAAGTACAACAAACGTCGCTTGCAACATATTAAATCATGACACAAGCAGTACACTAAACAGATCATTCATGCCCTGCACTTATGTCTGCAGCACGTGTAATTTTAAGTACAGATTATGTCTCTATGTCATTCTCTGTTTATACTCAACAAAGTGCAGCGTGTTGATTCAGTTTTCCTTATTTCGTAATATAGGCTGTCAAAATGGAGGGTACTATGATTATTATAACGGTAGATGTCGCTGTCAAGCAGGCACGTGGGGCTATTATTGCCAATATGGCAGTGGTGAATAGTATTTGTTTAAATGTGCATGGAATTATTTTCTCATAATGTGTAACCCTATCATCTCGTTTCTTCCAGTAGCCTATTATTGTACATTAATTGATGTTCACCTGTGACATGTTTTTTACTACTTCGATCGAGTCTTATTATTTATACGTATGTATTGTATAGTGAACGACTTTGAATAACAAATGCTAATGAAAAATACCGAACAACATAGAGTTTTTACTTCCAATACATGCACATGTATATGGACACTGATATACAAATACACACTGGGGCATGTATTACATTTCTCAACAATGGCAACATGCAGTTTGTTTTCAATGTGTTGTCACTGAACATTTCTTGTCAATGTATGGGATGCTTGCAGTACAAATACTGCACTTTTTCGATATTTGTTTCAGTAACGACGCCATTACCACCTGAAGAAACAACTTTTATAGCAAACACAACAGGTACTTGTGATATGAAATAAAAATGCTTCACTACGTATGTACTCCTCATATATATTCACGCATATTGAGTTATTTGATTGTAGTTTTGACACCTTTAAATTAAAAATAATACATTTATACATTTCCCTTTTTTAGCTGTAGTTTTGCCAACTGCACAATTTCAACTATCCCACTTTCTGAACTAAACGGTCGCGACCAGTGGGCACGTGGGCAACGTGGGCACTATGCAAAATGCCCTTACCATGCTCAGGGATCAAAATAAAATTCTGAGTTTTTTTTTCGTTAACATACCAAACATATTTTGTTCTCGTTCATGCTACTAACTTGTTAAGTGAACAGTGACACGCCTATTATCCCTATATTATATTATATTATATTATATTATATTATATTATATTATATTATATTATATTATATTATAAAACGACCGCCGTTTCAGATACGTTTACAGGGAAAAAGATCCGTTTAGTAGGAGGAGGGAGTGTCAGCATAGGTCGAATGGAGGTTTATCATAATGGCCAGTGGGGGACAGTTTGTGATGATAGTTTTGACAACACGGATGCCCAAGTTGTATGCCGTATGCTGGGATACAGGTTCGACTTTTATTAACGTTACATCGTCAGTATTGCTTAAATTAGTACCTTAAACTAAACGACACAAAATTTCACTGGACTCACTTTGCATTTCAGTATTAAATATTCCGAGAATGCAATGTTCGCCTATCACCCTCACAATGCTGTATACAATAGTGCAACAATATTTGTATTTATTGTCTAAAATGTGGATATTATAATCATTAAATTTGTATTCACTATTCAGACAATGAAACAATACCCCCTAGATCCTAAAATGTCTTCAGTTTTGACTAACGTAGTTGTTGAATTTAAGGGGTTTGGATAGTTGAATCCTTGTCTGCAATGCATCTAATGTAAAACCCTACCAAATCTACACTTGTTACAGCCCATACAATGCTAGAGCCTACTCGAGCGCCAGGTTTGGTCAAGGCCGTGGTCCGATATGGCTGGATGACCTGCGCTGTAGAGGCTACGAGTCCAGTGTATTTGATTGCTCTCACCAAGGTCTGGGTAAACACAACTGTGGACATAGTGAAGATGCTGGGGTGTCATGCTACAATGATACAGATCTATCGGTTACCACGGCGTATTCAGGCGAGTTACTTACTTACTCCTTTGAACTTCAAAATTTTTGTCGGGATTTTTGCGCCAAATAAATTCTAGCCAAAACAATTGTAGCCATTAAATTATGAATTTGGTATATATTCAAATGCGTTTAGTACATGCTTATACATTACTATTAAAAGTTTGACATATCGGTTCACGAGGCAGGGCGCTTTGTATCACACATGTGTGATAACAGCACCTACGTTATCTTTATCTGGCAATAAAGGCAGAAGTTTTACCCATTTCATGGCGTGCCAAAGCACACGTAAGATTTGTCAACAAGATGAAGATTCAACAAAATACTGTTATATAAATTAACGGCAAGTAAAGCATTTTTCAATGATTGGAGTTCGGTAAATAATTAACTGCAGATCAACACTCAAAGGCAAAATTTAACCAAGTATTTTATTTATTATTTCATCTTTTTCAGAAGAAACCACGGCAGCAAACGAAATAACAACTGGTATGGGAGAGAAGCCATGCTGTAAAACTCTCAAATATGTTTATTTTATATAGTGTCATATATTTTTAATCAAAATTTTAGAAAACCCTTGTCAATAGGAATTTGGTTATCAAACAAATTTTTAACACTAAATGAACTACATGTATATTTTGACATAAGTCACATCACAGATGTTTGAACATTGAAACTGAATACTAAATATGTTTATTTCATTTCCAGAAATGCCAGAAACAACTACACACGGTAAGCCTTCCTAGTGTACCTTGTCTCGTTTGATATGGTGTAAAGACTTTTGTAAAGGGTGTGTGGAAGTCGCTATAAGTATAGACTCTAAGTGCAATGGACCGAGTACAAATTTTTGTAATTGCAATCTTGCGAATGTTTTTAAATGTTTTTTTTAATGTACATTGTAAGGTGTATAATATGAGTCTGAACTTTAATGTAAACGCCTCAAAATACTATTCTACTGTGCTGGTAGTTTTAGTTCAATATCTTTAATTTAAAAGTGTCTCAGTGCCAGGTACTACTCTTCATTTAAATATGCACCATTTCAGACCCCTGTTCCCAAAACCCCTGCCAGTATGGTGGTACATGTATACGTACCAACAGTTACTATTGGCCATACACTGGCTACAGATGTAACTGTCCTTACTACCGTACTGGGCAAAAGTGCGAGTACGGTGCTTATGGATACCGTAAGTTGATTTCTTTCTATAAAAGTGCATTTTATTTTTGGTTTTTGATCTAAGAATCAAAATATTCTCCAATTTATATTCATACCCAAGTGTTAGTCCGCGTCGGAATAGTATTTGTAAAACTAATAGAAGAAGTAGAAATATTTACCATTTTGTTACGTGATAAAGCACCTGTTGGGTTAATCAATAAGTTGAAGATTGAACAAAATACATATTTGAACGATAAGTACAGCATATTTCAAGAAGCAGCATTTGGTTAATAACTGCAGTCCAAGACGGCGCAACAAATATTTACTAAGTATTTTATGTATTTTTCATCTTTTACAGAAGAAACCACGGCGGCAAACGAAATCACAACTGGTATGAGTGTGAAATCATGTAGTAAAACTCTAAAATATGTTCATGTTATGTAGTATTATATGTAATGGTATGAATCCTCAATATATCAGAATAAACTGTCTAACATTAAGTCAACTGCCGTATATTTTGCATTTAGTCGCATCGCAGATTTTTAAACATTTAAATTGAAATATTTCCATTTCATGTTCAGAAATGCCGGAAGCAACAACATACGGTAAGCCTTCTAATTAAACGTGCCGTCGTTTGTTATATTGTCAATACTTTTGCAAAGGCTGTGTGGAAGTTGTTTTAAATAGAATCTTCAATTATAATACACAAGTTTTTGCAAATACATTCTTAGGTGTATAATATGTGTCTGTAATTGTCCGAGCATGCTACTGTACTGTTCCTGGGCTCGGAATCTCGAAAGGTTCGCGCTATAGCATAGCTAGCGTGCGCTATTTGCTAGTGCGATTGCACCCACCTGCTATCTCGAAGCCTTAGCAGACGCAACGCAATTATAACCTCAAACTCTACTAATATTCGATTGCCGCATAAAGTGAAGACGTCATAACACAATTACACAAAATGCAATTTTTTTCACCATGACGCAAATCAAGAGGTTGTTTTTTATTTATAGGAATATCATAATTACAAATACTGATATTTGAAGTATTTGACACCAATAAAATGTCAAAAAACAATTCAATAAGCGAAGCTTGGACTGACACAATTACTGACACAATGGTGAGTAGTGTTCAGTCTCACAATAATAGACATTGAGGAAGGTCACGGTGCGGCCGAATGCTTTGTTTCTGCTTTTTCATTTTGTGTGGAAAATGACACTTTTAAATTTATTATTATTATCAATAGACTACACAGATGAATGAAATTCACCAGAAAATATAAAATGATGTATGAAATGTTTAATTTTGATTTTTTTCTGCATAATAAAATATGACTTTGGCATTCTTCACGTGAATATTTACCGCAAGTTTTTCTATCAGAGGTACCAGTGATTCAATCAATTAAAAGCTTCCATGTTTTTGTTATATGTTTTATTATATGCTATTATGACTAGCAACCCTAACTTGCCACCATGTTTAATTACATGAAAGACATTAAAATGACGAATTTTGCATACGCAGAGGCCTTTACGACTAGTTTGTATCGCCGCAAATAATAGCCTCGAAACTAATGGCGATTTGGACATTAGCGCACGGCCGGGATTTGCGAAGCTTTCGAGATATGGGATAGCGCACCCTAGCCATGCTAGCGCAGGCGCTCAAAATAGCGATTCTTTCGAGATACGGGATAGCGCAAGCTAGCCATGCTATAGCGTGTGCTCAACATAGCGAACCTTTCGAAATTCCGAGCCCTGCAATTTTAGTTTAAGATATTTATTGTAAACTCAAACGATAAGATAATTTAGTATTATTGCAATATCTTGCACTTTCTTTCATTATTACACATATAATTCTTCGTCAGGATGCATTTATACCTCTTCCATTTCAGACCCCTGTTCCCGTAACCCATGCCAGTATGGCGGTACATGTATGCGTACCAGCAGTTACTATTGGCCATACACTGGCTACAGATGTAACTGTCCTTACTACCGTACTGGGCAAAAGTGCGAGTACAGCGCTTACGGATACCGTGAGTTGATTTTTTTTTATCACAGTATGATATATTTTTCATTTTATATACATATTTTAGAACCAAAATAACCTCCAATTAACCTTTAACCCTGGTTTAAGTCCTCATTGGAATATTTGTGAAACTAATATAAAAAGGTGAAATATTTATATTTTGTCACCTGCCAAAGCACTTGTTGAACTAATCAACAAGTCGAAGATTGAATAAAATATGTGTTTGAACAACAAGTATTATATTTTTTTCTATAATCGAAATTTGGTTAATAATGAACTGCAGTTCAATTCAATGCAGCAAATGTTTACCAAGTATTTACTTGATTATTTCATCTTTTGCAGGAGAAACCACGGCGCCAAACGAAATCACAGCTGGTATGTGAACGAAATCATGCAGTAAAACCCTAAAATACGTTCATATTATGTAATTTTATGTGATATTTTATGAGTCTTCAATATTTTAATTAGAATATGGTTATCAAACAAATTCTCTAATATTAAGTTATATTGTCTAACATTAACTCAACTGCATTTTTTTTTATTTTGCAAAAAGTCACAACGCTGATTTTTAAACAATAACATTTAAATATTTCCATTTCATGTTCAGCAATGATGAAAACGACTCCATACGGTAAGCCTTCCTATTGCACGTGCATTTTTGCATAGACTGTGTATAAGTTACTATTAATAAAACCCTTAACTGTTTAATCTGTTTCTGCTTTAGTATTATATAACCATTGTTAATTCAAATATTAACATTATGTTGTGCAAGGGCAATAGCTCAAACTTCATTCGAACATGCAACATTCCAGACCCCTGTTCCCAAAACCCCTGCCAGTATGGTGGTACATGTATACGTACCAACCGTTACTATTGGCCGTACACTGGCTACAGATGTAACTGTCCTTACTACCGCACTGGGCAGAAGTGCGAGTACAGCGCCTACGGATACCGTAAGTACATTTTCCTAATCAAATAGCAGCATATTTGTCACTGTTTTATCATCTTTTAATAGTAACAGATCATCTATGTAGATTTTCACATTAACTATAATTAAACCATTAGAGTAATATTAATCGAATTGATAATGAATCCGTGTACCATTTAATAATGTGATTAAACACCTGTTAGACAAATAAACAATAAAATATAACAATAAAAAACTGGTATTTTATAGATTATTTCATTTAAACCATTATTATAATTATTTCATTATTTCCTATTCTACAGAAGAAACCACTGCGGCAGAAGAAATCACAACAACAGGTAAAGGCTATCATTCAGAAAACTCCTAAAAAGAAAACAAAACAAAAAAAAAAAAAAATATATATATATATATATATATATATATATATATATATATATATATATATATATATATATATATATGAATTGGTTGATATTTGTCATAATATGATATTAGCAGGATCTTTACGAAGTCAACCATTTTGTGCCATATATCACCATTTGTAGTGTTAACCATAACAAATTTAAATATTTCCATTTTATGTTCAGTAGCGCCTGAAGCAACTACTTACGGTAAGTCTGCCTACTGCATGTGCATTTATTTGTTCTAACATTATTACTGCAACCAGGGCTTTGAAGTAGTTTTCACAAGTGTATAAACTTATGGATATTTGCATTTGTAAAAAAAAATAATTACATAGTGTTACTCTTAAAAAGGTTGGAATTAACATTCTGCATAATCTGCGTCTAACATTATTGATAAATTCATTGATGATGTGCCAGTATTTATGGTTAAAGATGTTTTGCAAACCTCCAGATCACCAATGCAATGTAATGGTAGATGTTATGTTTATGTTTCATTCCAGACCCCTGTTCCCAAAACCCCTGCCAGTATGGTGGTACATGTATACGTACCAACAGTTACTATTGGCCATACACTGGCTACAGATGTAACTGTCCTTACTACCGTACTGGGCAAAAGTGCGAGTACGGTGCTTATGGATACCGTAAGTTGAAAAATATCGGTTGAATTATGACTTTTTTTAATTGTATAACTGTATTTAACGATGAACAATCCACCAAATTGTTTTAACTCTAGTTTAACGGCCACTAAGCAAAAAAAAAAAAAAAAAAAAAAAAAAAAAGCTTGGGCATCTGTTAGGGTTTCCAACATAATAAAAATAAAATATACAAAATTTAAAGATTACAGTAAAACACTTACCGCTAGCGTGAGTGGTTGAGAATGTTCATCGAATTACAAACTATATTACTAAGCATTTTTTAATTACTGGCAGCGCGAGCCAGTTACTTATAGTAACTTATAGTAACTGGCTCTCGCTGCCAGTAATTACGCCGCGGGATATTCAGGGCACAGACTGTGATCATAAGACATACCGCGAATAGAAAAAAGAATTTAGAAAATAGACATTGCATGTGAATGAAGCCTAAATGTTTATATAACAAAACCATCTTGCTGATGACTTAAAAACGTGCAACAATTATATATATATATATATATATATATATATATATATAGTGATAGTAATAATTTTGTTTCCGTTGTACACCGGTTTAACAACGTTCGAAATGTTTTAATCCCTATCTGGTGAATAGAAGGGGGCGGCCAAACAATGGAGGGCCATATAAATCCCTTCAATATTCGAACGCACAAACACAATAGCTTAGGTGGAATAACACAATACTTAAGACGAGCGAACCCCATGACGCTGATTTCTGTGGTCCAGCGTGACAAGACAATCCGCTGTAACTAGGTGTAATTAACAGCAGGAAACATCAGCCAGAAGGTCCCTATTGTTTGTTGCGGCGATAGGATTATAGCTTTAAGAGGCTAGAACCCATGCTTACGCGTGCCACACGTAGCGAACTGTCCTTTTGTTCACTAGTTTGGCACGCGCAGCTGATTATGTTTTTAGTGTTGTTTACAAACTGCAAGTAAAATTTGTTATCATTTAATTCATCGAATATGAAATTTCCGCAGTCAAAAATTGAACTACCGGTAAGTATTGTTTGTTTGATTGACATGCATGAGCGTCAGCATCAATCTGTCTCAAAAAATTCTTATCGTATTAATTTATAAATGTGTAATTTATTTATAAACGTACTGCATTCTATGATAATGAATGAGGAATAAGGAAAGAATATATTACTTATACAATACTTGTATTATAAAATTGAAATTTAATGAGGTGCATTGACAGAGGCGCAAGGACAATCTAACTCCAACGTGCAACCGGGGAAAGTCTGACTGTGTGATCATACAATATATGAATGTACGGTCAATTAACAGTGTAAATCATCAGTTAAAGAGGAGGGGGTCTTACTATGGCTCGCTATCTATTGATAAACGCACTAAACCATGCCTATACAATTACTGTGATCATCGTCACTGTTTAGTTACTCGCCCATAATGCGTGCTGAACGACAGGCAACTTATACATATTATCTGTGTTACTGTGTAAATGAACACATTTAGTTAAATTATAACGAAGTCGGTGATTTAATCCATCCAACATATTTATATTTGTTCTTCTAAAAACCAGTGTCAGGTTAACGCCAAATCAAAGCAACCCTTGGAGACTGGTTTTGTTTAAACTGTCGTATATTAAGTAAAGCTAAGTAAAGCCTGTTTCTACTTTGCAGTGTTCATCCCAGCTATAAAACTGAATGAAGGATAACAAGACTCCGTAGCGAATTAATTTTCACAATGCCCTGTGTTTCCAGGAGTCCCGTGTAACACAATAATATCGAAGAGTATGGCCTGAGAATAATACAAATATTAGGCCGTGTATGAAAGACTTTACAAATTCAAGAATTTAAACATGCTAGGAACATGCACATCACTTAATAAGTCATTTCACATAAATCGCATCTAATTGTTTAGATTAACCTCTACTTTTATCGATCTCATCGCCTTGTCTCAACCACCTAAAAGAAATATAGTGCACATGAGGAAAAGTAACACGTTTACATGCAGGCGAAGGAGGTATACTTCAATATTAATCGCGAACAATATCAACAGCGACTCAAGACCGTTGCCTGTCTTTCACACTTTTACACAAACACACGAAGGTTTAATAAAGGGAGTCGCGGCGCGATATCTATCTCTTTCCTTCGAACAAGCAAAGGACTGACCCGAAGTAAGCTTTCTAAACTAATTTCTTTTTTATTGTATATTGTAATTACTCCGCTTACTCGCCTCCATTGTCACGCTCCCCGAAAAAAACTTTTTTTTTTTTTTAATTTCGAAATAAATTGCTTTTAAGACAAAGAAGTTCATTAACCCTTTAAGACTCATTGTCATTGTACAGCATGTTGTAATCGATATTTTAAAAAAAGTTTTGTACTCCGCTTTTCAGTGTTCATCTTGGTGCTTTCATCGGGGATACCTCAGGTTGAGGTTACAATTACGTCGCTCGCCTAAATCCATATGCTACTGGAATATATATTTAAGGACAAATTAAGCTTTGTAAAGTCCCTATTAGCACACACCATAGATACTTAATTTTGTCTTGAATGAAAAAATAGCCTCAAATGATCGTTTTGTGGTTAAACCTTTCATAACTTGAACCAAGATCTGATATGCAGTGTACTATAGCTACTATGACATTCCTCAAGTTGGGTCTGCTGGGGGAGGGGAGCATTTAAACGATAAACGAGGAAGTCTACCTGCAATGATCGCTATCTCGGCTCCTTTTTCTTTGACAGCAACATAAAAACAAAAAGTGTTTAGGGAGAAAGTCACACAAAGGCCCCACGTTGTTTTGTCTTCAGCATTTCCTCTTCCTTGTTTACTGCAGTTACTATCGTCAATTAATGAAATCGAGAAAGCAATTAAGTGACGGCACATTGAATATAGTCACTAGGTGCATTTCGCTGAGTGTTTACAAGATCTAGCGATACATTTTATCGCCACGCGTTCTAATCTGATTGTTTGGGGGGGGGGGGGGCAGTTAGTGGTATTTGTATGTGTAGTTGGATAAAATAAAATAGTCCAGAATACAGGGTTGCTACTTAATATGGAATATTTTTTATCATTGTTATTTTTGAGTGCTGATTAAATATTTTTTGGCTTGATTCATCAAAAAAGTATATCATTGAGTGAGAAAAATATCCAGTCTTCCATTGTGAGATATTTTGGTCAATAATATCAAATCTGACATAAGATGTCATTCAAAAGAAAAGAACACCCCCAGAAAACCATATCAACAGTTTGATGTCAGTATTAACTTTAAGCTAAGATATTAAAGAAAATGATAGCCTCCGGACAGTGATAAGTTACACAGTCAAAGAAATCATTACAGTAAATCATGAAAAGTCATCAATAGCGGGTATGACATCCAGCAGCCGCTTGCAGCGCCCTCATCCTACATGCCATACCCTGTGACAAGTTTTTTAGAGTTTGGATGTGGATATCATTCCACGCAGTGATATTTGCCTGTCGCATTTCATCACTATTTACCGGCCGATGACCATAGCCATTAATTCTCTGAGTTACTTCCGCTCACAGATTTTCAATTGGGTTTATTACTGGGGAGTTTGCAGGCCAGGGCAGTTGCTGAACCTACTGGTTTTGAAGAAAAACAGTGATTCTGCGAGCTCTATGTGGGGTTGCACAGTCGTCTTGGTACACAAAGCTGTTCCTAAAGATGACTCTTACAAATCGAAGCATTGTTTGCTGTAGAATGTCTCTGTAGGAACCCTGGTTGAGGTTGCTTCCCAGAAAAACCAACTGGTTCTGGACACCGGCATGGAATGCTCCCCAAACAGAGACGTTACCACCCCCTGCTTGCACCCTAAGTAGTACACAATCATTGTTTTATGCCTCTTGTACACATCGGCGAACACGGATTCGACAGTCAACCCCCAAAATTCCATATCTGACCTCGTCACTGAAAACGACGTGATTCCAGTGTTTTGACTGCAAAAGCACATGGTCCCCAGCCCAGTGCAGACGTCGCTGTATATGACCTGCTGTTAACAGTGGTTTACGTACTGGTCTTCGTGCAAAATAACCAGTTTGCTGTAATCTTTTGTTCACAAGGGACCTTGAAACGGGCGTTTGAAAGGCATTCTGCCACTCTTTTTTGAGGACACTGGTTGTCTTTGTACGACCAGCACGGCGCACTCTAAGGAGAAGGCGATCCTGTCTTCTTGGTGTGGTACGCGGACACCCTGGTGGAAGTATTGGAGTAGGTGCCCCTGTTGTAGCATTTGTTTGGAGGACTTTATTAACGGTTCCTGAAAAAAGTTGAATTGTCTGGCAATGGCTATCCGTTTCTAGCCATTTTCTCTGAGAGCAAGAATCCCATAGTAAGCTGCGTTGCTTAGCTGTCGAACCATATCTTCTCTAAGGTAACTGACAAGTTTCAGAGCGATCCCTTTGTTGCTTCTCTAAATACACTCCAAAGATTGACCAAACCCATGCGCTTTTATACAAGGGCAGAAATTGCCGAAAAGACCACCCCTCACATTTNGACTGCAAAAGCACATGGTCCCCAGCCCAGACGTCGCTGTATATGACCTGCTGTTAACAGTGGTTTACGTACTGGTCTTCGTGCAAAATAACCAGTTTGCTGTAATCTTTTGTTCACAAGGGGCCTTGAAACGGGCGTTTGAAAGGCATTCTGCCACTCTTTTTTGAGGACACTGGTTGTCTTTGTACGACCAGCACGGCGCACTCTAAGGAGAAGGCGATCCTGTCTTCTTGGTGTGGTACGCGGACACCCTGGTGGAAGTATTGGAGTAGGTGCCCCTGTTGTAGCATTTGTTTGGAGGACTTTATTAACGGTTCCTGAAAAAAGTTGAATTGTCTGGCAATGGCTATCCGTTTCTAGCCATTTTCTCTGAGAGCAAGAATCCCATAGTAAGCTGCGTTGCTTAGCTGCCGAACCATATCTTCTCTAAGGTAACTGACAAGTTTCAGAGCGATCCCTTTGTTGCTTCTCTAAATACACTCCAAAGATTGACCAAACCCATGTGCTTTTATACAAGGGCAGAAATTGCCGAAAAGACCACCCCTCACATTTCTGACCACAGAACATGCAACTGCTTACATTAATTGTTTCGAAAGTTGCATGGTAATTAGGTAACACACCTGGCTACACATAGAGTGACCCCTCAGTTTTGGATTTAAAATAGTTGGAGAGAAATTAAATATTTTGTAGAACACTTTCTCGACAAAAAATAATATTCCATATTAAGTGGTAACCCTGTAGTTACAGGTTTGAGAAGTTGAACATGAAAACGTTTTCGACTGATAATAAAAATACATTAGGAAAAAAACGAAATAGAATGTTTGGAGATTTAAACAGTTACTCTGGCGGCTTTGCGTCATGGCTATGAATCTGACATCGAATTGAGTCCAAAATCTTAGTAAATTCAGAATTATTAGCTAAAATGTAAATTGCCCTAATTTGTCAGATAACCAAAAATGCCAGTGATCCAAGCGGAGAGTACGCTTTCCTGAAGGTAGCGGCGACGAACGGCGACGATATTTTTCTGAACTGTGAACCTGTATTAGTTACGAAAAGCCCCCTTTTCAACAGGCGTGTTTTATTAATTACTTCATGTCACAAAGTAAATTTATACAGGCAAAACTTTATTCAAGGAAATAGTTTCACGAAATGAACGAGAGTAAAATATAAGTCGGCACAAATATAAGTCATACAATAATGAGTCTATTTAAAGCATAATCCCTCCTGTTATGGGCCATGTCGGATTATAATGGCATACCTTGATGCAAAACAGTCTATCGTTTCTTCCACCGCGAGTCCCTTTTATGTATTGTATTAGTAAGTTGATTAATTTTTTTTTTCAGAAACAACAGAAATCCCCAATTTGACCACAGAAGAGTATGTCGGTAAGAACATTCACAATAATTTTTTTTATGTCCTATACCATATTTTATCAATATATGCAATATATATTGAGCATTCCATTTTCTTTTCAATCTGCCTCTTCAAAATTATCCTGACAAATATTTCTGTCCTATTTCCATTACCTTACAGGAGTGCGTTTAGTTGGTGGAAACAGTTATCGTGAAGGACGAGTAATGGTCTACTACGACGGACGCTGGGGAACAATATGTGACCACAAGTTTGATGATAATGATGCTCGAGTTGTATGCCGCATGCTTGGATTCGGGTATTTTTTTTTTTCAATCTGTTGCATCGATTTTGCATTGTTTATTATATTCAACAACCATTCAGTTTATATGATTATTCCCCTGTTTTAAAGCATCTTACCATTAAAATCTCGCGTCATTCCTTTCTAGTGACCGATACGCCAAGGCTTATGGCGGCGCCTGTTTTGGTGAAGGCAGCGGCAAGATCTGGCTGAATCACCTGCACTGTCAAGGGACTGAATCCTCCATAGCGCAGTGCTATAAGCGATACGGCTGGGGTAATACCCACTGCTCACATAGCGAGGACGTCGGGGTATCTTGTGGCTTTTCATACAGACGTTCCTGCACCAACTACAATTACACTTCGAGTAAGTGAACTTTTCGTTTTTAGTATTTGTGCTGTATGCTGCAGGCTAGTGTTGGTGTATAGATCAGTTGCCCCTTTTTGTGCATTGAAAATTTTTGTTGTAAAGGCGCAGTCTTTTTTGCCCACCCATTGATTCGATATGATGTGGATACAAATGGATTAATACACACACTGCAATGCACAAAATGAGACCAATAACCCAACATTATATTACCATTTCATGTCTAAACGATGACTAGGCCTATAACTTACTTAACATAATTCCAAGCAACAATGCTTACACCTCAAAAGATCTTACAATAATAGTTATATTATAGTTGAATGTATATTATAGTTAATCATTCGCCAATCTTATCTTTACTCTACCATTGTCCACCCCCAGGTGGTCCTCCAACTGCACAAGTTGAGACGACAACAACATACGGTACAGTATTCCATATATATTGCATTTCATCTATGCTATTGCACTCATGAGGTATATATGTAAGCTAATTACAACAACAACAACAACAACAACAACAACAACAACAACAATAATAATAATAATAATAATAATAATGGCAATAATAATAGTTTGTCCATCTCAACAAAAAATCAGGGTTTATGTCTTTTTGTCAAAAAAAAAAAAAAAAAAAAAAAAAAAAAAACATTTATGATCTTCCCCTCTTGAGTAATTTTCAAAACGTAAGTGTGCATGACAATTCCTCTGGTTTCAATCTATTTCGTTATCTTTCAACAGATCCTTGTTCTTCCCGACCATGTTATTATGGAGGCACGTGTGTCCCACAAAGATCGTATTACTGGCCTTATAACTATGTGGACTACAATTGCACCTGTCCCTGGGCTAGATACGGGAAGAGATGTGAATATTATGGTGAGTATTATTACTGGCCTTATAACTATGTGGACTACAATTGCACCTGTCCCTGGGCNAAAAAACGGGCTTTTAATCCGAGTACTGCATTGCAATTATACACCATAGAAACGTGAGGCAATGTGGTATTTATTGGGAATGCATTAAAGAAAAAAGACGATAGACATAACAGATCGTTTAGTGGTTTCATTTACGGCAATAGCTGTATTTACATTCAAAAATGTTTTTCTTTGCAGTGGATATTCCAGTTCGTTTAGTTGGAGGCTACAGCAACAGAGAGGGACGTGTGGAGGTTTACTACAATGGTCGCTGGGGGACTGTGTGTGACGACAACTTTGACTCTAATGACGCTAGGGTCATATGTCGCATGCTTGGATTTGGGTACGAAGAACGCTTTATATAATGAGTGATATTACAACATGACACAAGCTTTAGTTTAAAATTTGAAATTTCAAATTGTATTGATTGCACTGTATTGATGTGTTAGATTGAGTTACCACAAACCCATCGCACTAGCTGGATCGATCTTACTCTGTGGCGCTTCCTGCCTAAGCGATATCAGTGTAATCGGCTGTTATACAGTTTGTCACCTTGGGTAATTAGGGGGTAGTTGAATATTGAGTAAGCGTGCCAGACATTTAAGCCGCTTGCACTGAATGCAATTTAGTGAGAATCCCCACAGAGTTAGATTGATCCAGCTAGTACGATGGGCTTATGGGAACGCACCCTTAGTATACCATTGAGCAAATGATAAATAAACGGGTTGGCCAATAATAGTTTCGTTAGTGGCATGGAAAGACACATTTTATCCAGCGTTTTCCATACAATAACTTTATAAAGCGTAGATTGATGGAAATGGGGCATGTTAATGGCCATGTAGTATCTGGGGATGTCAATTCCTATATTGCCAAACATGTGGATAGATTGTATGCTTCCTGAATGATGAGAGATGGTTCCTGCATTAAAGAAATTGTGCTCTCAACATGCAGTCCATATATGTGCCCACGTTTATATCGGAAATAGTACTGTACATACAATATGCAACTGTAACTTTTTTATATCATATGTGTAATTTTAACTTTGTAGCGATCGGTATGCACGCTCGTACGGTGGTGCTTGCTATGGTGCTGGCAGTGGACCAATATGGCTAGATCTTAAATGCAGCGGCTCGGAGTATTCCATTGCCAATTGCAACTACACTGGCTGGGGCATAAACTATTGTGGCCATCAGGAAGATGCTGCGGTGTCTTGTGGATACTCCTACTCTCGAAGCTGCCCAGGTTCTTCTCAATACGGTGTGTGTATTGATTAACGTCGAATAAGGATAATTATCGTTTTTAGATACCGCTGATCATAGTAAACTTTGTCGGGGTGGCCTCAACTGTAACTAGAAAAGCACTCCGAGAGCGCAGACCTCCGCCTAGGCAGCGATTTTTTTATTATATGGATTATTGTTTGATTATTGATCCGGATCACTACCAAAAACTAATCATCTCTTTCTTGGCCCACTTCTGACAGTTCCTGAAAATTTCATCAAAATCGGTCTATAACTTTTTGAGTTATGTTGATGACAAACAAACAAACAGACGGACAAACAGGGGTGAAAACATAACCTCCTTGGCGGAGGTAATAAAGAAGAATAGTCCTCTATTTTGGATCCACTTTCTTAATTGATTTTGATAGTCGCAAAATCATTCGTTTTGATGCATTAGCTATAATCCACATTCTGAGCAGCAGTCCTGAAATATGAAAAAAAAAATATACAGTGTACATGATGTGTAATTTGAAAGTAATAAAAAAGCTAACTTACCAAAATTCTACAATGTAGTGCGTTGATGTACCCAATAAAGATCCAGTTATTGATTTACTTGTCTATTTACAGAATATTTTTATTGAAACCCAGCCTTTTACGGAAGTTCATGTATTCCATAACATCAACATAGCACCAAACGTTGCAACTGCATCGCTGCCATTTGACATTATTCCACTGATTATGAATTGTATCCTTTTCTCTGATTGGTCACAAATAGTGACGTAGTCTTCCAATAATGTATCTTTAAATATATCTTTTTAAGACATAACTTTAAAGTTGTTAAAATGCTTCTTCCTTTTTATCTCTATTACAACTTAATTTGACCGTTTTTGTGTGCTTGTTTTTAGGTCGACAAACTACTGAAAATCCTACCACTGAGACGACTTCTGCATACGGTAAGCCTTTCATGTCTAGCCCTTCTTATTGTTATAACCTCATTACAGCTATGGCATGGATACGTAATGGTTTTACAAGATTTTTAAATCAGCTTTTTTATGAAATATTACTCCTTGCATATACTAGAGGAACATGATTGATAAAAACCTAGCGTATTTCAAAGTGACCTCTGCTTTTACCAGCACTCCTTTACTTCTTAAATAAAAAATGACATCTTAACTTTTTACCGTCTGAAATTTCCAAGATCCCATTCCAGACCCCTGTTCCCGTAACCCCTGCCAATATGGCGGCACATGTGTACGTACCAGCAGTTACTATTGGCCGTACACTGGCTACAGATGTAACTGTCCTTACTACCGTACTGGACAAAAGTGCGAGTACAGCGCTTACGGATACCGTAAGTTGATTTTTTTCTATCAAAGTGAGATTTATTTTTCATAATATATACATATTTAAGAACCAAAATACCCCCCAGTTTACATAAAACTGTTGTTGAAGTCTGCTTTAGGAAATATGTCAGGATAATATTTGTAAAAATAATGCGAAAGGTGGAAGTATATACTTTTTTGTCGTGTGCCAAAGCACCTGTAAGGCTAATCAACAAGTTGAAGATTAAAAAAAGTATATGGTTTAACGAAGAGTTCAGTACACTTTTCAACAAGCAGTAGTCCAATGCGATGTAACAAATGTTTATTAGCATTCTTATGTATTTTTTTATGTTCTACAGCAGAAACCACGGCGACAAACGAAATCACAACTGGTAAAGCATTCAGTAAAACTATGTGCATGTTTATAAATAAGAATGATCAAACTCTCAAGCCAAGAAAAAAGTTTGA